ATCCGCACTTCAATGTAATTATGTATTTCATGCTTCTTTTTATTATTTCAATAACTGATCAAAATACTTACAAGGTAGGTTTACTTCCGTGATACCCTCAAAAGTTTTACATAAACTGTTCATACAACAAAGTTAAGCAACATTTAGTCCATTACATGCAATCTATTACTAACTCCTCTGAATGATTGTTCCTAGCTAGACAGACAAAATTATGGATCGAATTAGGTCAACAGGTCGTTAGATTTTCCCAAGGCGTCTATCGTTGTGTTTAACGATATGACAAGATTATTCTAGTGATCAATCAAAGCCACTTGGAGAGATGGCTGCTCCGACTTACTAACATCCTTCTGCGGGAGGAATCAATCTTCATTTAAAGATTGGAATGAAATAGAACAACGTAATATATCGATAATAACCTTTCATAACATTCTCTCAGTTCGTGTAATTGAACTTTTCGCGGGAATGATGACCGATATATCTTAGCAACTGGCGTTTCCTAAAATATCTTATTAAATCACTTTTCTTAACTAAGTTTAAGTTAGAAGACATTAGTGCTACAGATGAATTTAAAAGGAGCATAAATTTAGGGATACGGTATTTTAAAAATATGCGAGTTTGTGAAGAGATCTCAAAAATGTTAGAAGATAGTTCGTTAAGGATTTGAAGACAATCAGTGAAATTGTTAAATACGGCTAGTGACTGCGATCAGTATAAGTTTTCGTTGTTAAGTTTTAGACGAGGATTGTATGTATCTACTATAAGGATGTTATAATTTTTATGTTATGGTTAAACAGCGTGTAACGTATTTACAATCGTGGTTCATCTCATGTTCACGATAGAGTAAAGTATTTACATATTTCATTATCGTCCGTGCGATACGACGAGCACCTGTCGTTCAATCCGTCGAAAGTGCCGCGGTTCAATGGTTGCATTCCAGGGCGAGTTAGTAGCAGAGAACTCTAGCCAGAGGCCAAACGACTCAATAGCGTGCGATCCGAACGAAAACATTTTGTTTCAAAAAAAAAAATCGAGTAATATCACTGACGATTTTTGCGAACGCTCATTATACTCACAGCGGAGAGAGAATTTTCGCCCGGCTAATTTGTTTTCGGGTGAAAGTAACCATTGTTATTGTTCGGTGCTTGGACGGGTCTTCGGCGTGCCGCTTGCGCCATCGAGAGCACGTGACTCCTTTGTAACCCGACCTTCGAGACGGGAGCCGTTGACCCGCAGCTCGGCTACTTGCGATCATTTATTTCATTCAGCTTTTTTTTAACTACTACGACTTTTATTCATTATATATTGATCGATTTCTGGTAATCGAGATACTTAATTTTGACATCATCGATAATAGTAAAAAACATAATAGTCATTTGTCTTTTACCTATTTGTGCCAATTTCTTCTGTTACAATCTATATATATATATTTAAATACATTAAACATGTATTATATTCTATAAATTAATTAACAATAAGTTCATAAATACACACTTTTTATACGTCGTTTTTACAATTTACTAATTATTTTATTCAATGAAAAATTAGGCAGGTACATTAAAATTCATCTTTGCTTAGTTATTTCCTGTACGGATATTATAATATTTTCATTATGACCATATGATATAAAATTCATGTTTGCCCAAAGGGCACAATAATGATTAATAACTCAACTTTATGTTAGGTTATTTAAAGTATTACAGTATTTAATATTTCCTAGTTTCTCTAATAATGTTTTGTCGACTCTTCTTATTTGCGTAATAGGACTCAACTCGTTGATAATTAGACGTGGGATGCCAAGATTTACACAAATAAGATTTCTGAAAGTATCTAAGCTAACGATCTCTATCGTGAGTAAGAAATTTCCATACTTAACAGGTAGGATCACTGGAGAATAGTTAATTATGATATGTTTCAATTTTCGTTTGAATTTATATTTCATCAATTGTTCTGGTTGAACATTACCAATATGAGAATTTTATAGTTGGAGCAGGTTCAACATTTCTATTTTGCTTTGTTTGATCAGGAAGTACTACAAAATCTAATTAATTTTGCTCTTTTAAAAGAAAGTTCTTCAATATCTCATTTGAATACATGCTTTATCGATTTGACATGGTTTTAATAAAGTTATCATAGCATTTTTCTTTCGGTGCAATTATTTTTTGTGAGTGTATAAGTAAGGTAGTAAGGAAGTCGTACACAAATAGAACATGAGTGATTTTAAAGTCACGATCCCGCTAGACGAATTGAAGATTGCACTCCATCATCTATCTATTCATGGGATGCAATTCTCAATGACAAGATTTCATTTCGAAATCTCACCGACCGCAGTGATATGCAATCTCGAACGGTAGCTCCCTTCACTTCAGGAAACGCGATTCGCACGACGGTTGACGGTTGACACCAGGAATTAAATATCATCAGGCGGTTAAGGATTTAAAGGATTTTTATATTTAGCTATTCACAAGCAGGCCTTGATTAACGCACGTATGTCCTTCACTCTTGTTCAAGGCTTGGCTTACTTTACAATAGATTGGCGTGTAATTATTTTAAGGTGCAGATATTTTTTGTTGAAAGTTTAACAAGTAGATGTATAAATTTATCACAGAGATACAGATCTCAGACTAACTAAATGATAGGTGATAACTTGGGTAGATAATTCATCATGTCTGAAAACTAACAGGTAATAGAAATTTTAATATATTTTTTCAAATTTCATTATATATTGGTTTGAGTTTCTATTTTACTCGTCAAAAGCTCCAAATCAATTACAATTAGCTATTCTCTTGTCATTGCTTTAATTTATTTTAAATGTCCATTCTATTTTCAGTTCCTTGTTCCTTGAATATTTCCAATTACTATCCCTCTCGCAGTTGTCAACATTTAACGAGTTTTCAAGAGTTGTTTTAAAAAATAAAACATTACCGTTGCAATTTATTGAGCATTATTCTTGGTCGCATTGCGTCGTTGCAATATATTTTATGTTCGATTACTTTCATTTATCGTAACGCCCCCGAAAAGAGATCGCGGTCATTACCGATTTTTATTTCAGGCATCAGGAAGGTA